AAAGGAACCTTGAAAAACAGTCTCAAATCCCAGCTTCACAAATCTCCACCCCGCCTTGAAGAAGATGTCCAACACATTGCCTCGGTCTGGATTCACTGTCCATGCCCTCCATACTCTTTCAGCATTGCTGAGCCCCAAAGTGCCTCTCACGTTAGAACAAACTGCAACAAACCGAAATGCTGGGAAAGCCCGAATGTGCATGATCCCTTCGGCCCTCAGTGCCCTTAGTTAAAAATAAATGCTGATTGGAAGGCCGAAAGCCTCCCAGCTATAGGCATTCGGAAAGCCTCCACATGAGTCTTGAGCTTCGGGAAAGTGCAAAGAGAAAACACTTGAAACCTTCAAGCTCTAGTTGTGAAGTTGCCGCCGGGAAAAGGACGTTGCCCGCATTACTTGGCGAATCCCTCCAGGCTGTAGCCCCATCCAATGCTGAGGACTGACTAACGCGTTCAGTCACAAAAGAAATATATGGAAGCCGTGATGCGTCATGGCTTCCTTTGCAATCAGACAAAGCATCAAGGCCAGCCGAATGCATTCCCCATCAGGTTCAAGCATCACAAATCCTGAAACCCGCAATCGTCAGCTGTTGAACATTCTGGAAAGCCACAGACCTGCACGCTCAAGCAGCCGGTCGTGAACACCAAGAACAACTTGCCAAAACATGTGCCTACACATATGTAACATATGACATATAACATACCACCAATGGGGGGATGGGGGTGCCAACAGTTCCAACCCACATTTCCTTCGGCTCCCCCGATTTGCCAAGCGCCGAATCCGTCGATCGATCGATCGGAGGCTTGGCTCGGCCCGGGGCCCAGGCCTTGGGCCTGGCAGCTGGCCAGCGGCTGCACGAACGGCGCGGCGCCGCCCCGCCGTCCTGGGAGAAGCGGCCGGCGGCGCCCGGCGAGGGATGGGAGAAATCTGGGGCTTGTGGAGGTCCCATTTTCTGGAGCTCCAAATTTTGGACGTGGCCAGAGATTTGCAGACAAAGGGGCAATTGGACCCTCAATAAGCCCAAAACCTCGGGAATCCCTGAAGGGGAATCAAACGGAAAGCCACCAGTTTAGGGGAAACCTATTTTCGGAAACACCCTATTGTATATCACTTGCAGGTACAAAAAAAGCAGGAGACTTGGAAAGATATTCTTGCTAGCAAGCACCAAATGCACCCACAAAGTCCTGCATGACAGAAAAATGTCTCATAAGCCTTGTTGGCCCGCCACCATACAATATCTATGCAGTTTGGCTTTGGAGTAGATGTCAAGCTTATGTAACCCTCAGTAAATGTGCTGTAGATCATCTTCCTTTATGTCACATGGGCGTAAAAGAGCATGTTTCCATCATGTCCAGGCTGGAAACAGACTGCAAATAGCCCCGAGACAATGGTCGGGCTTCCCTTGCCCCACCCGCTCGGTCCTACAAAGCGGATCCCTGCGCATTGTGTACCGAGGCCAAAGTCAAATCCCGACGGCGCTGTGACTCGGACTGCTTCCGCCTTGGCGACGCGGGTGCTCCGGCTGAAAAAGCTGGCATCTGCAGACAAACAAGTCTTTCTCCGGCATGGGCTTGGTTGAAACTCCATCAGTACCAAGCAAGCAAGCACTTCTACTCTGTGGGAGGGGCCTCCGCAGCATTTTGGTCGCGGTTTGCAGCCACAAAATCAACAATCAAGGCAAAGGGAATTATTGTGACTGAGCCACTAACGCATATCGACAATGTGAGCATGCTCTGATTTATACAGGCTGAGGAGATGCAATTTGTTACTGAGCTCACCAACCCCAACATGCAAATAGTAATGTTCAAGCGAAACAATTTTGAGTGAGCATTCCACGAACAAACGAGCCAAGCTTTGAAGGTGACAATATATTATCCACATTCAAGCAACCATTCCCCGCAAGCATTTTGCAGCTGGGCACTTGTGTAAGTGAGGACAACTCTCAAAACGTCAAGAGATAGCTGAATAATGCTGGAGTGGTCAGCATTCTCATGAGCGATAAAGATGGAAGGGCAGGTCGGCCGCGTGTTTACACCCCGTTGGACCTTTTGGGGAGCCTGACTCTCCTGCTGCCTCAAGCTCATGGCAAAGCACTGTCCAGGAATCAAGCCGATCTGCTGCCAGGGAACGTTCACCGAGGCAGTGAAGCGTAGGCGGAGACTGTTGCCCAGCACTCCTCCAACCTCATCCCGGCCGCACATCCGCAATTCAGGCAGTGATGTCCCACAGTCTCTGTATCCCCGAAAGTTCGGACCTCTGAAGCTCTCCAACCCCTTAAACATATGCATCAAACCCAACTTGATTTGTCGTCTCGTGCCATCTAATAGCGGCTCCAAAGCCGATTCCCTGTTCTCAATGAGTCTACAAATTGATCTGTACTCATTTGCAATCAGATCGCATTGATATGCAAACAAGTTCAAGACAACAATATGCCTCAGTGTGGCAATGTGTGTTTCACTGTCAGTTGCAATTCTTAAACACAAGTTAACATCTTGGCATTCCCTTCGTCCACAAAAACACGGTGGCGCGAAGGTTTCCTTCCGTCCCGATAACATCCCTCCAGTCCCACGAGGCAGCGGCCGTGCTCCCACGGCTGGACGCGGCCGCCAGGTCGACCTGACACGCGTTGCGAGCCGCCATCTGTCCGCAACTAGGCCCTAACCCATTTGCTGAAGTCGCCAACAAACATATTTCCAGTGATAAATTCCCTTTAAACCAAAAAAGGGGAACATAAAAGAATATTCTTGACCAAATGGAAGCAACCGGCACAACAACTGTCTGGTCGCTGGCAAAGGAAAGGTGGCTCTATGCTGCCCACAACCTCTGCTTCCGAGATGCCATGATGACTCACTCCACGGCGGAACAGCCAAAAAATTCACCCAAAAGCCCAAAAGAGTGGCGTTTGGAGAATGGTCGTCGATATCTGGCTTTTGCTGCCCGCAGTGCACTTCTCTACTTGCTAGATGTGTTCATCCTAATTCTCCGTCCGCTCGTCCGCAAGTCCGTCCCAAATCCACCTGCACACCGCTGAAGGTGTGCACTTTGATGGCCGGCACCTGCCACAAAGACCATCTCAAGCCTGCGGCCCCTTGCTGAGGGCCTACCCTGGGCGCCTAACCCCGCCCATCCTTACCTAGGTCAAGAGCAACAGGCGACAGCTCCATATCGTGCAAAGCCCGGGAGTTTTTCGAGCAAGTCGGCTGGAACTGTCAGTGTACACCTGGCAATCCCTCTTGGCTGGAACTGTCAGTCAGCCCACAGCCATCCGCATGGCATGCCCGGCTATATGCACCAGGCCTTGCTGGAGGAAAAGCCATCTACCTGGGGCAACACGGAAGGGGGGCGCTTTCACCAGGAGCCCTTTCGCCGCTCCCTCTTGCCCTCAGAGTGCGGTGCTTGGCTTTTCTACTCCAGTTAGGTGATTCCGAATCCATGTATCCCCACGTTCCCATTTCGTGCATGGTGCTTTGTCAGAATTCGTCCGGCTGAACCAGTGTGATGCAGAAAACGTACCCTGCGCGGATATAGTATATTACGGTGAACAGGGCAGTGAACAGGTCAGAAAACAGGTCGACGTAACAACCCGGATGCAAACCTGCCTCGAGAGTCCACACATTCCAGATCGGATCCACTTCTGGATTGGTGGCCTGGGCGTGACATGTCATGGAAAACATGCAACAGTTCGTGAACTGAAGAACCTGTGGACAGGTGCACAAGTCCGAAACGAAGAGCCCCACTGTTACGCAAGAGCAACTCCAGGGCCTTAAGCTCGGACCAGACCAGACTGAGACTTCTTGTACCGGCATGCGCTTGCGGGCAATCGTGCGCCCTTTCTGAGCTTGTGAAAGCAAGCTCTCGCTCTCGCTCTCAGCTCAGCCGCCACGACCCGCATGACGAAGGTCTCGTTGCTGGCCAAGGGCGCCTGCGACTGGCGACTGGTACCCGGAGTGGCTCAAGCCGCTCCCCTTGGTGACGTGACGGTCAGACAGACGCAATGAGGATGGCCATGAGTCGTGTAGCAGTAATCCTTCGCATAGTCAAACAACAAAAGACGGAAGTATCAGTATTCGAAGGTACTGCGCTTAGGGCTCGGGGAACCATCTCCCCGCCTCCCACTTCAGGATGGCGTGGCCAGGAAACCCCTCGCAGGAGAACCTCAAAGACACCAGCCGTGAGGCGGTGACGTGGTGAGGTGGTTAATCCGTGAGTAGATGCCGAGAACATGAGGTGGTTGGTGAGCAGGTGAGGTGAGCAGATGGCTGGTGAGGTGCAAGTCAACAGGTGACCCCCAGAACAGAGGCCCATGGCCAAAAGGAATCACAAGGACAATGGTTGGGACATGAAACCCGTGAACCCGGTGAACCTTCATCTCAGGCTTTCGGCATGCTTGTGGCTAGCCCCACGGCAACCCGATTTTGCAAACCTCGACTCGGGGGGTGTTCCTTCTGGGTAGGGTGTTTGTTGATTTTGGGCCAGCTCCCCCACCCGTAGATCATCAAACAAAAACCAGGTTTGTTTATACGCAGTTGTCATCTGATCTCCAGAAGAATCAATCAAATCATTGACGGCGCACACCTTACAAGTGTTCCCAAATGAGCCATGCGCTGTCTGCCGTGCTACCAGTTTGCAGCATCATTGCTCCGTCAAGTCGCCACACGCGCAGCAGCAAGTCTTTTGCTGGACCACAGGCAAACCAAACTCTGCCTGAGCCACAACCGAGACATGAAACCGATGGTGAAACACGGGGATGGCTAAGACAAGGTCCTGGCAGCGCCGAATGACTCTGCTGCCCTTCTAATTTGGGCCCTGGACAGAAAGAGACCTTTGGGCCAGGTGGGCACAAGCTGAAATCAGGCATTGGCCACGTCAAAACCATTCCAGAGGGCTTCTTTTAATGGTGTCGCAGTGGTCGGCCAATGCCAAGAGTGCCTATATCATCTCTGCATAAACAACGGCACTAATGCCAAGCACTGCTGATGCTAAAAGAGGTAGCGGATTTGGCATCAGCCCGCAGACGATCGCGCGCCCACGTTGCGGCCCCTCAGCAGTGCAGACATGTTGCCTCGCACGGGATGCCACGAGTCCAGGGATCGGGCGCTTTCGTGACCTTCCCTGGTCTGGCTGTTTTGTGCGGTGGTTGTACTAGGGCTTAGCAGAATTGAGCGGTTTGGTGTCTTAGAAGCATGTCAATCTGGCAATTCAGATCCGCCGAAAACCGACCCCAAAAAAACGGCCCAAACCACACGCCAAAACCGCTGCAAGCCACAAACTGCTCCAACCCCCGAGCTATCAATCGGAAAAATGTCTCTCTGAAGTGTGAAGCCACACTCTTTCAGCATCTCTCAACATCTCTCAACCCTTCAGCACCAGCCAAAGCCACTCACCAGTCTCTGAAGCCGCCCCAAGAGGTTCGTCCAAAAGCCAAAGACCTCTCGCCTCTGCCGCCGGCGCCCAGGCCCAGGGACACCCCGGCGCCCGTGCCGCCGCTGCGGATCACGCCGCCCTGGCGTTGATGCCCGGCCCAGTGCAGACGATGGGTATGTTGAGGGTGCCCCTTTTGGGAGAAGGGGAAACCAGACAAAAAATATCTTGAGACACCCCCAAATAGGCCCAAAACCATATGAGCGACTGCGTTTGACGATCTGTCGCAAGTGGCTTACGCGCAAAAACAAATCGGACTGCCACCTCGGAGGATATACTCCGAAAGATGTGCAAGTACAAACTAATACAAAAGTTCAGCACACCAGCAGAATCACTACTCGCAAATTGGCATATTTGGGGGATCGCAGGTAGGGTAGCATAGCAGCCCGTCTGTCTCCAAAATGGAGCATTGTTGACCAGAAGTAGTTGCCCCCGCAAATCATGCTCATGTCAAGCTCGTAGCTCAAAAGTCAAAAGCTCCGCCGCTCGCATTCAAAAGTAGGTTGTGCGCAAGTCTGCATCACATCGGCTGCCCTCTCCCTCGCCCATGGGCCTGGACCATCTCCCGTGCCTGCATCAGCCGAAGAAAAAGTCCCAAACAACACGTGACCGGCACACAAGCGTTTCTTCATGCGGACCTTCCGCGCCAAAAACGGTCAAAAAATATCGCAACGGCTCAAAAGATATCACAACGGAAGAGCTCATAGGAATCCTAACCCAAAGACTCAAAGCCCCTCCGCTTTTCGAACCGGTGTGATGGACCTTGGAGCGCTGATCGCCCACCAGGTCCAGGCGCTCCTGCATCTCGGAGTAGTCCTACCCCGGCGGGTAGAGTCAAGGCTTGCAAACGGATCCTGGTGGATCCCAGTGGACCAAACCGCGGAAGGGAAGGGAGGTTCAGGTTGCGTAAATACCTGCTCTGGATGCTTGGCCCCTTGGTGAAATAGCCTTGGTCTGGTGTGTGTGTGTGTGTTCTTGGGGTATTTGAACCACGGTCTGGGAACTCAGGACTATCCCGAGGTGAAAGGGAAAGAAAAAAGTACATGGACGACTTCGCATCTGGATTCATGAGTCAACAGTAGCAACCGTTGTGTGTCTTGGCTGCATTTGCTATTTGAAAGTAAATTGAAAGCGCTTGCCCTGGGATTCAAGAGCCAATAATCTCTGTGTGTGTATGTGTGTTTGTGTGCGTGCTCCAAGAACTATTGAATCTAGAGGTGAAAAACTGGAACACTGCTCCTCATATCTTGAACCTTGAACATTAAATCCAAAGATGAAACGTCAGTGTTTCAAAAGCGCTTCAAGTTTTGATCTCAGAAGTCTCCGTCAAGAAAAGGAGCAATTTGGCAGAAGCAGGAGTTGGACCTACACTATGACTGCGACATTGAAGGAGGTGACTCTTGATCGGGCGCTGGCCAATAGGTAGCAAATGCTAAGGCTAGAATTTGCAAGGGAAAGCAACAATGTCAAGCAATGCCTTGGGGCTGTTGAAGATGACATACTCATGACACCGAAAACCGTGCGAAGGCAACACACGAATCTCCGAGTTGGAGATTGTGTTGTGTTTGTATAAGCCTGAGGGCTTGCTTCTCCTCTTGAAAGCCAGTCAAAACGTCTGCCGGATTTTAGGCGGTGAATCCTAATTTCAGATTCTACCAAAATTATCAACTGGAATAGGTGATTTGGGCGCAGGTTCGGCGAGCAGCTTTCATCTATACCACGCTAGCATCTGATGGTTGCAGGATTGTTTTTCCAACTCTATTCAGGCAATCTCAAATTGCACATATGCATCATGTCATTCTAATTGTTCAGTGATCAAAGGCTTCCCCTAGCCTAGCAACATAGTGTCAAACCAAACGATTTTCTTACTTCTTGCTGAGAAACATCTGAACAACCAACCAAAGGTGAGTTGACATGACCGCATACATGTCTGCACAAACACGAACAACAAGTCCGCTCTCGGCACGAAATAATTAAGTGAGCACAACACGGCTCCTTACACAAAAAGGCCTTTGGCAGGCAATGTGTGCAGTTTGTCATGCATGGCTTCTCTACCCACGTCTCCCCGGGCCTTCGTTTCCACAACCTTGCAGCGGTAGTATGCATCGCAACGCTCCTCGCGGATAGCCGCTGAAATGGATGTCAACCCCCACCATCACGAAGAGTGAGTGTGTTAGAAGTCATTCTGTTCAGTGGTGATGCATGCTCCACCATGCAAGTGCTGCACTCTCCTTGTCATACATGCGCACCATCAGGAAGTCAGCAGCCATTGACCTGGTGAAATGAAAATGCGGACACAAGGTCTGAAACTTTCAGAATGCCTTTGTATATGCATGTGTATATACATTTACACATGTATAATATATATATATATGTACATAGTACATGTGTGTGTGTGTGCAGCTGTCATTCTACTGAAACCCTCAGCCCAGACCACGTGGCATGCAGAGGCGCCCGAGGCTCCTGGCGCAATCTGCACCAAGGCCAGACAGGAGCCCAGCTGGATGACGATGGGCACCTGCCGAATCGAAGCGATTCCAACGGTTTGGACCATGGGAGACTGGCCCCGCATCCGCATGGAAGGGAGACAGTCAATACACGCAAGGGCAAAAACGCTAAAGGCGCTCTGAGACTAACTTGAGAACGCCTTCGGCCATCCTCATCGCACTTGGTGGCAGGGTGGTGTGGCTTTCTGATCCTTCGTCGTAATCCTGTTCAAGCGACGGCATACTGATGCTCGTATCACCTTCGAGAAGCCTTGCTGCCTGTGCCCTACTTCTAGCTTCTGCCCACCAGGCGTGGTGACTGGCCTTCCGCTCTTGGACCCTCCACTTCCCCTTTCGCGTAGTATCGCGCAGGTGGACTTCCCCAGGCTGGGAGCCAAACCCCCCCCCCCCTCTCAGCGCGGCACCAAGCTAATTTGGCGGCCAATGCCCGAGGAGTCGACGATCAAGCGCAGGCCATACATGTACACAGCGTCCCTGCACGCATGGCCCATTCGATTCATACCGGACAAATCAAGCAGAACGATGTGCTCAATCTGTTTGACTCGGCGGTTAAGCTGCGTCTGCATCTGCATCAGGCCTGCAACCAGCACACCAATCAGCCAACCGACCGAACCGGGTTTCTGGAAAGTGGACCCAACCACAGTGCTATGACAACTCAATCCCGGCGCCTCGTCTCCACTCCTGCCACTGTTTTCTTCTTGGCTCTCTTCTGGACGAAGCCAGTTCCATCGTCCACCTTGAGAATTGACAAGACATGAAAAAGAACACTGCTCACCCAACACGCTGTGCAAAGTGGCAAACATCCGCTTGCAGCCAACCACCAAGTCGAAGGAACTGTGCGCCCAGCCATTCTCTACCTTTGGTTTACCCGTCAGATCCAAGTGCCCAGCGCGCTTGACGCTCAGCTTCGGCTCACACTCCGATCGCCAGCTCAGGTCGCAGTTCCAGAAGAAGTTCACCTGTACGTGTCTGCCACACGTAGGTGCATGGCTTTTGCAAAGCTTTTTGATTGGGGACTTTTAGGTTGACATCATTTATACCACGAAGCATTTGGAGGTGGTTCCAAGCATCAAAATCCACCTCTTCACCGAAAGCCTGTTTGAGTTTGCTTTGTGCGTTAGACTGCGGATCCCCCCATAAGCCGAATCTGGCAAGAGACTTGGCGAGGCTCTCGTGAGTGTGGCTCAACCAAATCCTTCGAAAGGGTGAAAATGAAGGTCTGTACTGTGGACGGCAAACCAGCAAAGGACGTTGACAACGGCTGTCAGACACAAAGGCAGTCCACAAGCCCACTGCAGCCGGGGTACTGCAATGATGCAGCCGCTCTTCGCCACGTCCTCCCGCCCGAGTCGTGAGGCACGGAGACGTGCGGCGGGCGTTAACTGCTCAGTTCCAAGGTACAAGCCAAGGCAAGGGAGGTCAAGCCACCCTCAGTAAATCGATCTGTTGTGGAGCGTTTCTAACAAGACCAACTTGACATGCGATGATGAGATGTGAGCTCTGTTCCCCTCCTGCAGCTTCATTGGTGGGTCTGCCAGTTCCAGCAGCTGCGGCAGCGTGATGTGCTTGTGCAGGTCGCTCGAATCTGGGCTGGAGCCAGCCACGTGGAAGGTCTTCCCCTGGGCCACCAAAACCAAAGGCCAGGTCCGCTGACATGTCATCGGCCACATTACATGAACTTATGACACAAATCAGGCAATCGATCAGTCAATCACATTTGATGCCTGATTCCTCTCCAGCCATAAACCCCAACAGGTTCAGACTGAGACTGATCACAGCTGCCTCAGGTTGCCCGCAATTGAGGCCGCGGCGATGCTCGGGAAGCCGATTCCAGCGACGATCATCAGGACTGCCTCCCTTGGCCGGCCGACGCAGTCGCATCAGTTCCAAGGGGACAGCCAACGACTTGGGAAGATCAAAAGCGGCGAGCCACAAAGATTTGCCACCAACTCTCCGTGCTCCGTCGACAGTAGACCCGAGATCAACAACGGCCCAGTTTTGCCTTCCTCGTTTGCTTTGTCGGCCCTCTCAGCTTGCAACCCCTTGGGCGAACCTTGTTGAATCTGCCTTGGATGCCTTCTTTCCAATTGGGAAGTCCCACAAACCTCTCCATGAGCCAAGCTTCTCGAGGCCCAGGATGTCCTGACTGGGGCAGTGCAGAGGCTTTTAGTGGACCTTGGGATAAGTTTTTGTGAGGTATGCTTGCGGATGCATTCACGTCAAGGGGACACCTCCATTTCAGATTTTTGCCATCGGACTCGGTTCCCCAGGTCGTGCATGCAGCTCGTGATACTTGTAATATTTTGAGCTCATGCCATTCCTTCCAACAAAGGCAGGGAAAGCCCTGCCTGCTTCAACGTCGCCAAAAAATAAATGCCAACCCCAACAAGCGTGCGAGAAATGGACACTGAAATGCATCAAGCAAATGCAGCCGGGAGCTGCAGACCCCCCCACAACCACCGGCAACAAGCAAGCCCCATTGCAACCTCCAATCACACAACTAGTCTCGTTCCGTCACGCATAGCGTTTCCTGACAAAAGCGACCTTCGACAAACGGGTGGCATTTTCTGCAACTTCCGTCCTCCACCACAGCTCCTTGGGGCGGGTGATCTATGTTGTGGTCACCCAAGCTCGGGCACCAGCCCTTCACCTCGCACACTCTCAGCGTCACCGAACCCTTCCCGCGGAACAAATCTGCCAACACTCGCGCACATAGATGGCAGGGCCTCTCTTGAGGTTGGCATGTGTGTCTGCTCACGGAATGCTTGTTAACGCCTAAGGCTTTCAGGACCTGCATTTTGGCTCAATGCGCTTGCTGCTGTGCCTATGGTGATTGGCTTTGCATGCCTGGCTTGGCAACTTGCCGCCCAGCTCTAGCAGAGCTTAACTGAGCTCCTTCAAAGAAGCACGCCAATCTTCTATTGCTACAAATGCTGCCCAAGGCAGGTTTCGGCTGGCATCACCAGCTCAATTGCATACTGGGAAAAAAGTGCTAGAAATAGTCTCGAGTCTGCAACATGTCGGCACCATCCACCAACAGCTGCCAAACAGCTGCTGGAAACCATTCGAAAAGCGGAGCAAAAAGTCGAGATAGCGAATGGGCAAGATTGCGCGCCGTACACTGGCAAAAGTGCGCGAAAAAGGCGGTGAAAAAAAACGTTTGAATCATCAAGCTGGCCCGCCATCCACAGGAAAGGTTGGGCAAAAACGATTTTGAGAGGCTGTGATGGGGGAGCGGGTTGCTTGATTTTTGCACTTGTTCGGGACAATCCTACCAGCTTCTGCGCCCTTGCTGTGTGCATGTGTTGCCTTTTTATGTCCAACATAGCCGGCAACCAAAAGGGCAAGGAGTCACTAAGTTTGTGCCCTGACCCATTGCAGGCATGAAAGTGTGGGAGGCGTCCAAGTCTGAGCACAGTCCGATAGTCATCCGCACCTCGCAGTAGTTGTCAGCGCCACACACTGCATGCTCTCCTCGGTGCACACTGTAACTTCAAGCAAACTACCTCTCTGAATGATCACATGCTCAAGCCAAGGTGCCGCATGGACAATGCTCTGGGCTATCCCAATCCACACAGGTGCCCATCCTTGGAACAAGGAACCTAAAATATTGCAAGGGCGTGCGCTGGCTTCCAGTGTCTCGCAAGTCTTGAGGTACATTAATGTGTGTAACTCCCAGTGAACCAAAGAACGGCATGTCCGTGACGAAGGCTGGCAATGCAGCTTCAACTTGCAGCTAAGCGGCTTTTGATCCTTTCAGGGGTCGGGCAACAAACATGCTTTCACACAAGAGTTGCTGCTGGCTCAAGCGGTCCCACAGCTCGAGTCCCCATCTCTTGCTCTTTCGCCCGAGCAAAAACGCACGGCACTGCATTTCTCGCTTGCTGGCCATCTTCTCGCGATGCTTCTCTCCGCGCCGAGACAAACCCAAGAATTCGGCGCTTCGGCGCTTCGGCGTCCCGTGGCCTTCACGGTGACCCGGCGGGTCATGATGAAAGCGCCGGAGGGCTCGATGATGGGGTATCTCAAATCCGGCGCATCGAAGGCCTGACCATCCGCACCGGCGAGATGGGTCCCCAAAAGGGTTACCGACGGCCCACGTGAATACTCCACGGCACGACATCTCTGCGCTTGTAATTCTGGCAACATGAGGTGTAAAAATTGGGCTGTAAACTCCCTGAGCCATTTCAGGGTTATCTGTTTTTTTTACTCGTTCCGTTTTACAGGGTTTGTATACCTAACGGTAACTGCGTGTGTTTGATTCAAACCGGTTCAGGCCAAAACCGTACACAAGTAACAGAACAGCTTCTTGGCATCCATGGAGAAGCGAGGAAATGGCCATGGACTTCAGCAGCCGTTTGTCTCACCGTTTGCTGACCCCCAATTATATTCCCGATCAAGTGTCAAGCGCTCACATCTTACCAATGTTTAGTGTTGTTTCATTTCTTCTCGTTTGCCCGGGGATGGTGCATGTTTGTTCACCAAAAACCGCCCCAGCACTAAAGTTCTATCCCCCCCGCCATCTTTTTGTCCAACCCCGCATGCACTGTACCGAGCCTTGCCGTCTGCGGTGAAGCCTTTGCCCTTGAACTTGGTGATGACTGCGCCAAGCCCCGGCTCCTAACAGCTGCGAGCAAGAGTGCGGAATCTGATTCAAGGGACCTGCTGCACATGGGCATACCTGCCGCCTTGACATGTGGTGCCCAGTCCTGAAATGTATGTCTTCCTTCAATGTGGAAAACAACGATCTGGATGTAGAGCACAACCTGTGCGCCGTGTTTTCTGACTCAGGAGTGGTCCAAACATCAGGCGTGCCTCTGAAATCAAGGAAGTCTCAAATCCAATTGGTCTCCCCAAGTTCTGCAACAAGGCCTTTCTGCCTCACGCGAAAATGACCGACCATTTCAGGCCCGACCTGAGCAACGCCCAAATCCTGTAGCCGCACAGAACTATTAAGATGCAAAGTCAAAAGCATGAAAGAGACGTTAGCATTCCCTTTTTAGGCCCTTTTGACGCAGGAGTAGATGCCCGGTGGCCGGCAAGGTACCCGTGTGCCCAACAATTCCAGTTCCAAGGGAGCGTCCAAATGACATGCCAAGGGGCGAGCGTCACAATGCCCCAGTAGAGGTATCCCAGGTTGGCATCCTGGATACGAACCACCTGAGCAAACTGCAGACATCTGAAATCCCAAGTGAAAACAAGCTGTTCCATGGTTATCGAAAGTTTTTGGTGGATCCCCGACATGAGATGTTCATCACATTCCAGCAAGTATGACCATGCCACCACTTCTGCCCTACAAAGCTGCTTCCAGCGGAAAGCTGATGCAGCACAAGGCGCTCTGTTGGTGTGGTAGGCACCTTGGATGCCGCTGGTGCCAAAAAATAGCATGGACCTCTAACAGCACCGCTTCACATGGCCATGGGTCAAAATCCCGTACCCCCAGTGAACATCCCAATCCCCACCAACATAGACTAAAATGGGTGGTGCACCTACCCCAAAATGGTACCATTGGTATTGACCCGCAGCCACATTTATGTCAAGGAGTGCAAGAGCAATGCAGCCAGACCGTGAAACCGAGAGGCAGATCTTGTTCCAGTCCCAAGAACTGTTCCTGCCACGGGCTGACGCGCAATGGTCAGTGAACAGCCTTCATGCAGTCTGCATGTGGCTTGGAATGTCAAAGAACTGGTGCGACTTTGACAAACACTCTGTTGCCTTTAAGATGCCATGGCTACAGGCAGGTCCCGTCGGTCCCGTCGGGCCGTGGCATGTGCAAATGAACGGCGAACGAAGGCCCCTGCCTGGCGGGTCTGCGCGGCTCGTCGTCCTGGCATGCGAAGGTTTCCCTCGAGCTCCGACTCGCCTCTTGGGCGACTTCCCGAGCGAACGTCGCCTGGCTCTTCGGCTCCGAGGACAGTTCAACCAAAAACCAATCGAGCGCCAAGCTCAACCGCGCAGCCATCGAATTAAAACAAGTTTCCCACCATCTATATCCTCTGTTTATTGTTAAACTCAAAGTGACTGTGTGAACTGATGTTTGACCAGTGTCAGCACGGCCGTGTAGCTCTTTTGTATTCGGGCAATCTGTGCTACGCTGCGATAGGCTCAAGGTCTTGATGCACAAAGGCATCGAAGGAGATGTACAAACTGTCTGTAGCCAGCAATAATATGTTTTGACACTCAGCTGGCTATGTTTGCATCCAGTCTTTTGCTGCCTTGCCTATTTCCATCCTCAACCCTTCAACACATCATCAGAATAAGTCCACAAGGCCATTTGAGGTTTACTAGATTGGGAGATTGGGGCTGGTTTGGCCCCAGCGCCAGAAAACAGTGTGAACCGATACCTCCACCCAAACGCACAAACACGATCGCTCCTAAAAGGCAACGCCCGCCCCTTGAAACACGCAGAACACTATGCACAAGCGTGTTTGACCACGAAGCTACAGCCTTGCACGCAAAGCTGATCTGCCAAAAGAGCCTGCCCAAACAAAACAAAGAAAGGAAAGTAGCAGACTGACACGCCTTGCTCAAGCTCTCGCCTTACAACCCTTATCACCTTTCTATGCTTTGCTGGCCTTCTAGTAAGTTACTAAGGCCCTGACTTGGCTCTTTGTCTTCTGGCAACATGGTCTTTCTCGCTCTCTCTGTCTCATTCTCCCTCACTCTTGCTCTTTTCCGCCTTCCCTTCTCTCTTCAACTTCTTCTCCCCCTACCTCCTACAGTCCAAGCATTTGTTTCAGCCTGCCCACACCGGCAACGCATCACGTGAAGCCACCGGCCGCCCTATCCTCGTCAACGACACCCGACAGCTCAGTGCCGGCCATGGCTGGAGCTAGCTTGACATGAACCCCCAACTCGGTCTTTCTTCTTCTGTCCGTCTATCGCTGGTGCTCTGCAGGCCATCTAGAGGCTCTAGACACTTTGAGTTGGGTTCAGATGCGTGACATTGCAACATGCCTCGCATATGAGGTGCAGCTGGCGCTTGGAGCTCCAAAGCTCGCCGCGCCGCCCGCAGCTACAATATTTGAGCAGACAGCTCCCAGGTTTCGCCGATCAAAACTAGAAGCACAACAAGCCGATCATTGGTCAAAACTCAGCAAAGGACAGCCCGTCCAAACTGTGAACACCTCTGACGCGAGTCTTCCAATCCAGTCCCCACCGGCCGATCGGGAACCCCCACAGCTCTGGCAGCTGCGTGAAGTTGCCCTGTCCAAACGGTTTCAAGCTCCCGGAAAGTCTGGCCCCTTGAAGTCGCATACGTTGACTTTTGGGGGTTCCCTGTAAATCCCCATCTTTAGAGGGTCTTCTGGATTTTGATGAGCAAGGCGGTTGGCAGAAGATGCTTCTGGAAAGGTTGTTAAGAGTGAAGGACACTGCTGTAAAGATCTCAAAAGAGCATCTCCCTCAAGTGGGAGCCCCGCTGTAGCATTCGCAACTCTAAGCACAAGCCTGCTGCCAAAGACCGCCAGGCTTCAGCCAGCCGTGACCGGCAAAAGTTGGGTTCATCGTTCACCAGTAAACTCGCGGACCCAACATAAATGGCCACTTTCCCTTTTGCGTTTTATGAAAAAACCAACCAAAAGGAGGCTCCCCAAAAGAAGACGCCAGCAATCCCCGACCCGCAGCGGCCAGCTGAGGGGCGTTACTCACCGTCTCACCCGCTGACCCCGCCCCACGCCTGTGGCACCGCCTCTGGGAAGACCTGGCTCAAGTCCGTAAAGATCTGATCCAGGCAGCGGATCTGGAACCGGCTGCCCTGAGCCATGACGGAAGCAACCCAAAGAAAAACGGGGGTCTGTTGACTTTTGTGTTTCTCTCTCTCTCTCTCTCTCTCTCTCTCTCTCTCTCTGCACATGGCGTCTTGTTTGAGGGTATCCTTGGAAGTGTCCGCGGGAAAGCCAAAGGAAACCGCTCATTTTGAGCTTGCTGCCAATCCGATCACCCATCGCAAAGAGTGCTGGCCATGTATGTGATTTGCTCGATACTGGCCACTAAGCTTCGCTGCAGCCCCAAAAACAATATCCTGAAACCTGGACCAAATCAAGAACCAAGTCTTAGAAGCTGCACCACGTGTCCCAGCGCAACTGCAACTGGTCCTTTTGCGCATTTTAACTTACAGACCTGCAAGCATAGGCGTCCGTTTTGGGAAAATACATGATCCTGGCAGTTGGTTAAACCACCAGGTAAACCAGGAATCGCCCTCTATTTTTCAACCAAATCAACCAAAAAGGACACCTATGCCTGCAAAGGGATGCTTTTCTTCCGGGCTCAGTCTGATTGCTCCCGCCTCCGGTGCCCGGAGCCGCACCAGCGAGGCAGGCTGCGGGAGGCGGAAGGCCAGGAGCGTGGAGCTGTTCCTGTGTGCCGTGTGGGGCCGAGGGCGGAGGCCTCCAAATTTGCCCCCAACTTGTTTCATGGAAAGACCAGAGTTTTCAATTTCAGAACAACTGATTGTGACTGGCAGCCATCGACAAGCAGCCAAACAAGTATCTTAGGAATGGGGCGACTCTCCGCACAAGCGCCAGACCCCAAAGAAATCGTTCACAGTTTTTGGTGGGCACTTCCGTAAAAATCGCAAGGTGGAGCCACGGAGACCTACACGGGGATGGCAAACTCCTTGGGCACAAACCCCATGGATCAGCATCAAACCCCATGGGGCATGGCACCTGTGGGAACCGGCCCGGCAGTCCTCAAAGGCCGGGGATCAAAGCCGTAGGTGTCGTTGCGAGGCAGGCGCTCAAAGTACTCCAAGGAAGCCTTGGCGCCCATCTGAACTCGGCATGTTTGCATCTCGAGCCCATGATTTCAATGGCTGATGTGGACATGGCGTTGCTTGTTCCGTGGGGTGCTTGTCTGTGACTGTGAATTGTCCATGTCTGAAGGCATTCTGAATGCCAACACCTTGTACATGCTCAGGACGGGGCCTGCATGGGAAATCCGGCGGCTGTGGCTGGTGCATCCACCTAGCCAAAGCCAGCAGGAATCAGCCAAAGCAAATTCCTCGCGCTTGCAGGGAAAAAGTCCCCCACCCCCCCCCCCCCACCCCCGCCCCGACAACTTCGCGTTCCCTCCATGAAAGATCTCCATCCGGCCAGCCTGCGTGGCATCCGGGTAGTTCAACGGATCTTGGTAGCTGCCGATCGTCCAACTCCCTGAGTCCAAATGGCTGGGTGCACTGCTGGTGGTCTTGTGGCATCCCATCGTGTTGCAAGACCATACATGCTTTCAAGCATCTATCATGAAGCACTTCGCAAGCAAGTACAGGCCGCTTACAAGGAACCAATCTGTACGTATTTCAGCCAATCTGTGCAAGCTCGCAACAAACCGCAAACATGTACACTGCTGAGGTCGGGCAAAACGAAGTGGGTTATTGCAAAGCCTGCTGCTTAGGTGCGCAAATGTGGGGGACTCAAGCACCTGAAAGATGGAACATGTCATAGTCAAACTCCAGCCACATCCTCAAAGACCGGTCGATCGACCGCGCGCCTGCGGCATAGGCATTGGGCGGGTTGCTGCACGCCAAGAGGACGGAGTGTGTGCCCGGCAAAGCCCTGGCAAGGGCAAAACACGAAGCCATGTGCATGTTCTACCACGGGGAGAAAGGACCCACGCAGTACATCCGATGTCAACGTAATGGCGGCAAAAAAACGTGTGAACAGTAGCTAATCGCATTGCCCCAGAGTGCCGCATCTCGGCAACTTTGACTGAACTCGAGGCTGGGAGAGTTTGCTCCACAGATTGCCTTGGCAAAGTTCCTTCTGGCCCAGCCTGTCCACCACCACAGTGACCAAGAGCTCTCCAGTCGGCCGCTGCCCCACAGCGCAGCTCCAGCCAACTGCGCGAGCCCCGAAAGGTCCCAAGTCGCGGGCTGTGGTGTTTCTTAAGAAGCAAAATGAAAGCTGTGTAAACGTGCAGAGTCGCCCGAGCATCATCTAAGAGACCCAAAAAGGCAAGTATTCCCAACGGTTCGATTGCTGTCTATACTACCATCCTTGTTGAATTTACGGAGGGTTGTAAAGACATTCATTCATGTCCGTTGATTCTCAGCCAACAAATGTTCATTCGGCAAGATGCTACTTCTTGAATGAGCGACTCTTGCACCAATCAGAAGCCCCATCAATACAATTGTCACGAGCTGCTGCTTTGTGATGTGCGGCCCTGGGTATGTGTCTCTAATGGTTCCAAGCACTACAATTATATAATCTAATCTATATACGCAACCATTGCAAAGTCAATGCCCTTTAACGCATTTGAACGGGAAAAAAAATGCATGTAAGCCCGCTAAACATGCAGGCGATGGTGAAAAGTCAGAAAGTCAATCCCGCATCTTCGCAATAGATGCGTGCAAAGTGCACATGCGCGGGTGTTTTGCAAGCTGGGGTGATGCGCCGACGGAGCAAGTGGGATTGAAGATGCGGTCGCACGTGATTGGGTGCATGGAATGAGCAAGCTGGGAATGCTTGCTTGATTGGCCTGTGATGACAACCAAACGTCAAGTGCTAGCTGCTTGCACCTGTCCCTGCCTTGGACACTCTGGCAAGTGCACTGGAGTCTGCGGGTGGCAACGCCACCCTGCGCCGATTCGAAGCTCTTGGAGCTCTGATGCATTACTTACTTCGCCCGAGTGGCTTGGATGGTTCACATGGGTTGGATTTATTTCTTGGGCTTGCGGGCTTCATTGCTTTGGTGGAAGTGCCCCCTCTGCAGGTTCAGAGTATGACATTAAAAACTTTGACTGGTCTCCCATGACATGTCCAATAAGCTAAGGTGATATCCCCAACAGCATGCGGCGCTTTTTAGTGCTCGCACCACCCCGCAGCCCTTGCAGAACCTCGTGGAACCCTCGTGGAACCCTCGTGGAACCCTCGTGGAACCCTCGTGGAACCCTCGTGGAACCCTCGTGGAACCCTCGTGGAACCCTCGTGGAACCCTCGTGGAACCTTACCTCAGGGCCGCCCCGGACCACCCCGGAACCTATCTGGGCTGAGACCCCAAAGTTTTCCGCTGTTGGGGAAAAGCCCCTGTCTCACACACGAAGACAGGCTCCCTTCACCCTGCAGGCGCTCCATTTTGCGCCAGCCGCACGCCTGGAACACGAAGCCGCCGCCGCTGAAGATCGGCGAGGTCGTTGTGAGCCGCACCCTCACCTTGGACGCATCGCCCACCCTCGCCCTGATCCGCGCAGATCCGCTCACATCTTCTCCTCAAAAGAAGCGCATCAAAAGCTGCGGAGCACGAGTCGTACCCCCTGCCCTTTAAAGGAAGCTCATTAGATACCCTGGAGTGCGAGTCGTGGAAAAGCTGGCCTTGGTTTCCTTGGCAAATTTCTGCTGCGAGAATCAGGGCAGCAAAGCCACAGCGGGTCAGTGATTGTTCCTTTTGGCAAGGGTTGTTGCCTTCTCTAGACTCCCCCTCCCATTCATCACCCAAGCTTTTCGAATTCTGGGTTTCCACGCAAATCACCTGCAAGCCCACCCCGCCCCCTGCATGCCGCGTCACCGCCTGCTCCTCGCTCACGCGGCCGGTGAGGTAGTCCACCAAGGGCGTGCGGATCTGTCGGCGTGTCCGCGATCCGAGCGCGAGATGTGGCAACCTCTGTCGAAACCCTCAGAAAGTTCACGTTTCACGCTCATGCCTAGATTGCATTGCAATGATGATGGAATTGTGTAAACCTGAATTAAGCGGCCAAAACTATCCCCCATGGGTCTTCCCTCTCTCTACTTCAATGAAGACTGCAAACACTAATTCCTTTCTAAGCAACTTCTTGCTGCCTCTGCCAATTCTCTCGGACAATGCAAACTCCCTTTTTGCCTCAGTCTCCCTGTCTGTCTCTTGCCCATCCACCCCTCCCAGCGGCCATGCTCGGCGTGGGCCCAGGTAGCACGACCTTGGGTGCAATCAGCTGGCCGTACATCAACGATTTGGAGAACATAGCAGAATTTGTAGAGAGCTGACAAATGGAGAAAGGCTCCAAAAGGTGAGAGCAGCCCAGCTTTAGAGAATGACTCCCAGTCCCCCGAGCAGGACCACTGGGCTCAACTGGCCGTTTTTGCGTGAACGGAGAACCCTCATGTTTGATGGCTGCGAAGGAAAGCCAGTAGACGCGGCTTTGCGGCTTATTTGACAACGTACCTACATGCACACACACACACACACACACACACACACACACACACACACACACACACACCAACAACAACTCACTCACACACACACACACACACACACACACACACACACACACACACACACACACACAAAGACCCAGACCCACACACACACACACACACACACACACAGAGGGTGGTTTCCTGGAGGCCGCAATTTGGATCAGTACAATGCGCGTGCGCATTCGAAAGACTACCTGAAGCATGGGACACGTATGCGCGTGTATGTATCTGTGTGTATGTATGCACATGTATGTGAATGTGTCGTTGTGTGCGCCTGAATGGGTATGAATGTGTATGTTTGCGCGCACCAGGTGTATGTGTGTGGGTGTGTGTGCGTGTTTTTGTGTTCTGTCTGTCTGCCTGCCTGCTTGACTGCCTGCCTGCCTGTCTCTGTCTGTCCGTCTGTCCGTCCCTCCGTCCGTGTGCGTGTCTGTGTGCGTAATTCCCTCTCAGGCAGTCACCGCGAAGGGTCTCAGCCCGCTTCCGACGCTTTGGTTCCAGTAGCCCAGCTCCAAGAACAAGTCAAAGCCTGAGACGGCAACCCGAATTCCAAGCAACAGTCAAAGCAGCTGACCAGCCATCTCACAAACCCATCAACCGACCCTTGCCAGATAGCCAGCCTGAACTCGAAGCAAGGGCCAAATAAGATCAGACGAGCCAAAGGATCAAACCCAAACCAAAAGAACCCATCCGCTCGGTGTCCATCCCGCCTGTGCTGGGCCACTGCGGCACCCGCACTGGCACGCGGAACCCGTAGCGCTCCCCAGCAACGAAGCCCAGGGGCCTTGGGCTTCGCTTCTTGGTCGAGTGCGTGGAGCCGGATCCACATGGGACCCGACCACAAAAGGTCAAGAAATCCGGCCGACCCCTTCTAATGGTTGGCCCTTCTGAGTCCAGTTAATAAGCAGTCCAAAAGGATTGCCTGGCTGTGAGACATACCCAAACAACCGTTGGGCCTTTGGAACACTGACATTGCCTCATTAATGCATTCTCCCTTGCCAGGTTTACATGATCCTTGGCCACCACATCTGCCGGGGAGCTCGTTCCAGCACAGAAAGATCTCTGAGTGGACGGAGGGCAATGCCTCGCAAAACTGATAGCACACTTCCCACTCCGATCAACGCCCACAAAAGCAGGCTGAGTGAGCTAACACGGGCAAGCCCAACATTCACTCCCTACAAAAAACCGATCAACACACAAATCTTTCTAGGAACGACAACTGCCTTGTGAATTGGGGGAGTAGGAGGGACAACAATCAGAAGCTGGCCATTTAAGGCGGAAATGCAACATGGCTTGTGCCTCTGACCCTCTCTTTGCCTTCAATTCAACCATCATAAATGAACCCCTACGGAGTTTGGCATCACCTGAGAATGGTTGTCCAAGTTGCACCCGGCAACGCGGATGTGGAGGCTGCTGGGATAAAATCCTGCGACAGAGAACCGTCCGAACCCTGATACACATTGATGGGCAACTGTGCAATGAGGCTATGTCCTCCTGGAATCCCTTTGCTCTTTTGGGGGAACCCACATGTTCTGCAAGTGAACGAATTCGGCTGCTTAACTGAGTGAAATTGCGGACTGTTCTCTCGCTAGCACAAAAATACATTCTGCGAAGTATGACGTCGCACCTGTCCCGACTTTCAGCAAGGACAGCATTGCTTCTACTGTCTTCCACAAAATAATAACACCGGAAAGCAAGTCCAACCTATGAGTACTGCAACAAGCGCAGAGGGCCCCTTGAGGTGACATCCTCAATTTCGACCCTCTAACTGGATTCCCGCCCCCAAAAGCAATTTTGAGAAAGCCCTCAAAATGTTCATCAGCTCCCCCCCCCCCGCCCAACAAAATATAAACCAATCCTAACAGGCAAACGCCACAATCTCATCGACACACACCCAGGACATTGCAGAATTGGCAGCATGTGGCTGACGCGGTCCTGCCAAAAGCCACTCTCGACGATGCCGGGCTCCCAAGTCCAGCCCAGTGGAGCGACCAAGCGCATTGGCAGGGACAAGCTAAACCTCAGACCGGCATAGCACCTGTTCAACAATGAACCAGCTTTGGGGTTTGAGGCCATGGCGGGAGGCTGCGAATCACTGCGACAAAAGGGTTCATGTGAGTCTTGCACGCAGTCAAGTAGCGGGATCTCCAACGGAAAGACCGTGACGTAGGCGGTATTTGTCCTTGCGCATCACATGAAGCGTTGGTTCAATGCTTGGCTCAGCAAATAGAGCCTTGCTCTGCCCAGCTGATCTGAAGTGGCTCAACTTGCTCAGCTTCGCGCTTGCTGCCCGCAACAACAACGCAAGCGTCGCTGGCCATCCACCACATGTGATCATTTTGGGACTTGGGAACGGCGTGCAGCCCAGGTGCGTGAAGAAAAATGGCAGGAGCTCGCCTCGGCCGCGCTCCCATGCTTATTTCTACAACCGCTGTCTCAAGTAAGAGACCACCCGCTGCCAAATCACCGAGGCTGATGTTAACAGCCGCCATCCTGAAACCATTGGCCTTGGAATGCCCGACAGCATTTTGTCAGAGGAGAGTTTTCCCCAGGTTTACCTATGCCCGCGATGAAGATACCCCACCCAAGCCATGTATAAGGAGCTTCTGCTTTGGGGTATGCTGAATGTGCCCTATACAGCCCTGGCATACCTAGTCACACTATTTTGGGAAATGCCTAATTGGGGGGGTATGTACGTATATTTTGAAGCAATCCGATCACCCTGGGTGGAATTGTCTCCCAGCGAGTGCTACCGGCCACTCTAGATCCCGCAGTGAGTCCAGGGCCACTTTTTTATCGACATGAACCAAGACTTCTCATGGCTGTGGGTCAAAACCCTGTACCCTGGTGAACCTCAAAGTAGGTGGTACATGGGTGTTCCGCCCCAAAATGGGATCGGCGTAGGTTCTGACCCATGGCCATTTCCCACCGCCCAAAATGGGCCCAAGACGGGTCTCCGGGCCCCAGCGCAGCTGCGGCGCCGCGAGCGCCTGGGAGGCCAAGCCCCAGGCCCGGCCTGGCGCCAAGGGGGGCCGTGGGCGGAAAGACACCTCGCTCAACACAACAATTGCGCACTTTTGTTGTTTGTTTTTTACTTTTCTTTTTTTTCGGAAGTCCGGCGGAAAAAAAGGGGCAAAGACTTGGAAAAGCTACGCAAGCCTGAGAGTCCAAAGTCAAAAGTCCACACAACTGGTCACGTGCTACTGTGGATGAAATCAGTCTGATCCATGACACCCACGCCAATGTTATTGGACACCCTCAGATCAGCCCAAGGCTGGCATGGAAGCTACCGAAACCCTTGCCTACCGTCGTCATCTCAAATCAAACTCAATGCTGCAATACGCAACTCCTTTTGATCCTCAGCCAGGTTGCATGTGGCAATGTCAAAACACAGCCGTCCTTGGCAAACAAAACTAGCTGTACAGTGCATCTTGGACCTAGTGGGAACCCAGAAGGGGCCTGCTCCGTGAATGACCACGCAAGCCGCCCTCACTGTGGCTCTATCATGCAGCAAAGATAGCCTTGGCTTTGGCGTACAGAGCCTTGCCCTGAGATGTCTTGCCATTGACTGCGCAGAAGCCCTTGATGCCGAGCTCCTTTCTGGCCTTCGTCACAGCCTCAGTCCATGCCGAGATGTTCTTGAAGGCCTTCTTTCCCGCGGCGTTCTGCTTTTTAGTGACTACGCGGCCTCGCTTATTCTTCATCAAATCGGTCTTCGTCAGCTGAGTCGCTGTCTTCTCTTTGCTGCCCTTGAACACCACCGCCTTGGCATTTCTGCCCTTTGCAATCTTGCTCACAGCCTTCTTCTTCATGACCTTTGCCTTCATTGCCGGCGTTGCGCCCTTCTTCATGGACTTCATAGCCGACTTCATCACCGACTTCATGGCGGACCTAGACTTCATTGGGAGAGCCATGTTCAAGTCAATGAGGCAGGGTCGCTAAGTTGGGTGCTGAGAGCTGACACGCAAGCTTGGGCCTTGAGCCAATGCCATCCATGCCAAAATTTGTCGCTCCCTCTCACGGTCACAGCTGCAGGATTACCTGGCAATCAGCCATCTCAGCGCCTGCATCTGTACCTGGAATTGCATCGAGCCATGCCGCACCGCCATCGCTCTCCTTAGAATAGGATTCTAAATGCTGCTTGTTGGTAGCTTGACTCCTCTGCAGCCACATGTTCGTCAAACAAAATGCACACAAAGTCAAGCCAAGCATTTAATATTGAACCGAGTCGCATCAACCAAGACCATGCTCTCGTTGTATGTCCTGGCCCAGCTGTACATCGAGGCCTTCATGTCGCGTGCGCGATGAAACAAATGGAACCCGTTCACTGGCCAAAAGCGAGTCCTCACCATCCAAAGTAGCTGGTCCTCGAGGAAACGCGAAGCACAAGCATCTGTCTGGGAATGCCACGAACCGAATCTTTTCACTTGGCCAACCAGCCAACAACCAGCCAGCCAGCCAAGAATCAGCACACTTGGCTGCCTAAGGCCCTACCACAACGCCCAACATTTACCCTGTTCATCCGTATGATACTCCAGAAAAAAGAACAAGAGGACAGAGATTTGTCCATTGTTGCAAATCCACCCATTCATGCAGAATGTCGAAAGGTGCAGGTCACATTCTAGACAACCTGTCCTCTTGCGCATTCTGGGTCAGCGGATTATCAACCGTGAGGCCAAACGCATAGCTCGTCGCCTGGCGTCTAGCTCCATGGCAGCGATGTCTAATGCACATATCAAACAAGCGAAATCCGCTGGATCAACATTTGACATCCCAGGCAAGGCAAAGCTCTTGCAGCTGCATTGCCGGTGAGCTAGTGTTGCTAATGTGGGCGAGGGTGAGCTGTGTAGATGCTTTTCTGCAAACACTGCAAACATTATCGATGAGGCATCTGCAAACTCCAGTGTGAGGAGCGCGCACAGCATCGGCTAAATTCTGCCCTTTCGGGGTTTTAACCACACCGCAGTTCCTGGAGGCTTAGGAGCCATTAGAGTTGCTTCAAAACAAGATTGGCTCGCATTTCCATTGCATGCCCTGCCTCTTGTAGCGGTCGTCCCAGCGAGACCTGCACCTGGCCACCCACATCGGCGAAACATGCCTCTGGAGCAGAATCGGTTTGCTTGGACTTTGCGATGTCTCGTCTCTGCTGGGCTTGTCACAACTGCCATCCTTGGGCCGTTGAACGTCTGTGTTTCCTAAGAGCAAGGAGTCGAGGAAGACAGGGGGTGCTTTCCAGACGAATTTGTTCATTTAACCCTCGCCAGCGCAGTGCGAGCAAGTTCAAGCCAAGTTGGCTGGACTCCATCAGTTGCACTCCGGTCTCTTCCCACAAATGGAACAACCTTTGCTTCCATCCGGTCTCAGGTTCCCGGCCCGCGGAGGAGACGCCAGCAAGGTGCAGCCCTGAGAAGCAAGCTGCATTTGGGAGGAACCCGATGATGAAAATGACTGTATTGGCGCTGAGGGCTAATTGGCTGATGGGGGACCACTTCACTCAAGCATTTGAGCATCAACTCTTTAAGAAGTTTTCTTCAAATAGGTTGGGACTAAGCCAATCCTGCGGAAAAATGTGACTTCTCATCCAGGCTCAATGCAAAGGAGGCTGCCAGCAAGCACTCCTTATCTGCCAGCTCTCTTTTTCTCAACGCCTCCACCGGCGCTTGGCGAAGAACAAGTGCTGGCGCGGTGCCATCTGTTCCAGGAAGCGCCGGCTTATCAACGCCTGTACTTCCCTAGTGTCTCACTACGCTCTTCAGATGAGAGCGAAACATTGCTGCGCCGACATTGGGATATGAGATGCAGTCAAATGTGTTGCTCTGTGCATTTTCAGAAGAGTACTCAGAATTTGTCTGTGGGTTTTTTGGGCCCATGAACAAATCGTCATGTTGACCACAGCTCATATGTCTGTGAGCAGCTCCAAACATACGCTACTAAAAGCTCTCCCACGCGCTTGGCCCAGCAGCTAGAAGTTAGGTCCTTGGCCGATTGCAGCGTCTGGCGGACGTTCTACTTGGCACGCAGGAGACAAAAGTCGCAAGCCAGAGCGCCATTTGCGCATGAACTTGACGTTGATAGTGTGTCATGGGGGAAGGGCAATTGTCTACCTATCTGCATCTCAAAGATTGCACAATGATACAGTACAATGATGAATCCACATACATCGCAATCCGATGCACATGTTCAGGATCCACTTCGGTATCAAGGAAAAGTTAAGTTTCTCGCCCACACAAGAGCTCATCGGGACCGTACTTCAGAGGTGGCTCAAAATGTGATGTGGCATCATCATGTGCAAACATGGCTATGTGGTGTAACTCAGCGTTTGCATTGTTTGTATGTGGGGGAAAGACACGCAGCGATGTCCGCCTCCCAGCCGTGGCGCTTCTGTCGCTTCGTAGACGAGCCGGCGCTGAGATCTTGGAAAGCGCTCAGCATGGTGTCCGCCTAGCGGGCGGCAATCTCCCCAACGCAGGGGATGCTGAACACACAAGCGCTAAGGCATGAGTGCACTGAGCATCGGCGTTTTGAGTCAACTCCTTCATCCATACATTAGTCTGGGATCCCACATGGACCCCAAATATCATGCAAGGAAGCCCGCCCAAAACAAAAACTCTAGCTTCTAACAACCTCCTCGCCCCTTGGCGAATGAAGATGCAAAATCAAAGACATTTAGATATCCTGGCATCCTGGCATGCGTCTTAATGGCTTGATCCGCAATTTTGACACACACTTTTTTTGGTCGAAGGAAGTTACGGCCATTGGGAGTGACTGGCATTAGGCTGGGTAATGTTCACCCCCTGCCAAAAAGGGAGGCTCTTAAAGCAGTCCAAACCAAGAAAATGTCAGCTCTGGGGGGCCTACATTGTTTGACGCCCTTGCGGCTCAAAAGTGCGAAGCCATCGCCTTCTGGCGGCACACCTCTGCCGAGTCTCCAGGGCTAAAGAGGGCTGTGCCCACGCCGAAGCCGTTGGCTCCAGCCTGGCTCCCACCGTGCGGTGGCACAAGGCTTGGAGAGTGGGACCAGTGCGAGCTGCCGGGCTAACCCCAAGCCAGCAACACGAAGAAGGAAAGAGGCTTGAAACGGTGGATTGCACACATCAACTGCCGCTTCAAAAGCAAGGCCGTCCGAAAGCGCGACTTTGGCAAAAGCGCAACTGGGATTGAAGGGTTTGGTTCAAAAGGCAAGGTCTGATTGGGGCGCATTCGGGGACATGCCGGCGTCGGCGAAGACCTTTCATCGTCAATTTCCCCCCGCAGGTCTCCCCCATCAGCTCTTCCACCCACTTGCGGCTGGTCCCGCTTCCAACGGAAGCCACCCAAACAAATGCACAGTTGTTGTTTCATGTCGGCGCAGATGCTTGCAAATGCATGAGACATCCACACATCCAAACAACCATGCGTTTGCGTCGCGTCCACGCATCTTACACATCCAATCGCCGGCTGCAAACGAAACAAAACAAGGGCAAGCAAACCCGGAGAGAAAGAACCGAGCAGAAGAAAGCAAAGCAAAGCAACGCGTGCCTAGAAGCTCACAAGGCAAGGTGAGCAAAACAATGAACAAAATGCTCTGCAAAGATGAGTCTTGGAAAGCAATGCTTGGCTTCTTTGCTCTTGGAAACCAGCTGGAGGCTGTTTGACGCCCCAAATACCCCCTGCGGCAGCACTCCTACTCCCTTGCTTGGAACAAGACACTTGCACCGCATCATTCCAAGTATCACAGCGTTCACGTCATAGAGCGCCAATCTTTCGCCTTTTTCTAGGCAAAATTGCCGTGAATGGGACGCGTCAATGTGACTTCCCAATTTTTGCGGAGCTCCCTGCTCCAACTGGTGTGAGTAAGAACATGAGCGCAGGCGCGCATGCTGCACTTGGTCGCCAGACAAACCCCCGCAAGCCTGCATTTGGTCACGCGAAATTTAGCAGATCGACACGCACACACACACACACACACACACACACACACACACACACACACACACACACACACACACACACACACTCTGTTCTTCTTCCACCAAGTAATGGTTGGCGACAGCTCGCAAACCAGCCACCTTTCAAGAAACTCTGGCACAAATGACTCCATCGGAGACTCCTAAAGTGCTACAGGTCTCCAAGCGCAGCAAACTGCTCGGCCCTATGAGAGCGAGCTGCTGGATCACTGCCCAACAATGGCCAGGCACGGTTGCGCTGACCAGAAGACCAATTTTTGGCACAGCAGCGGGTTGATAGCAGCGCTAAGGCCAGCACTTTGTTCTCGGTCGGAGATGTGGCAAGACTGACATTCACGATCAAACTTGATGGGAATTGGGAAAAGTTTTCAACTAGCAAACAGCGCCCCCGCTACAAAGCCAGTAGCGCTACTGCCGCTGCTGGGGCGGTCAAGAGGACAAGAAAAACGATGCACGATGCCTGAAACGTGGTCTGAAATTTCAGCGCAGCACACAACCACGGTCGCTGGAAGAAACCCTGCTACGTTGCAAATCTGAGCAAGCCCAACAAGCACAGCTGCACCACGCACGCCGACAGCACCACGCGGCACGCTGCACACTGGCACGGTAGCACGCCAGCAGCATGCCTGAAAGGTGAAAGACGAGCAGTTACGAGGGCGCGCTGCTGCTGGCCAAGTGCCATGCCAGCGTGTGAAAGCTGAGCAAGCTCAGGAAGACATCTCCCCGACAAATCGGAGACAGATCAGTCGTCGCGTTGAGAAGAACAAATACTACACTTGAAAAAGGCCGAGAAGATCTGACTTCTGCGCGCGAAGCTCCTGGCATGCAACAAATTCAATGGTTCGCCTGCCTGCGGCCTGGTACCCAAGTTTCCAGAAACTCGCAATGCGATTATACAAACCTGTTTCTTCACTCGAAGGTTCTGCCAGGAAATCATTCACAAAGAAGTTGCAAAATCTGTCGCAAAGCTTTGAGCCGTTCTGCAAAAGCAGTATCAGCCTGTCTCCAAGCGCAAAAGCCGACAGCACCCTAAGCGCTTCCCAGCCAGTCCCCTAGTCCAGTACTAGGCGGGCTCTCCTCCGCTTGACTTATCCATGCCACGTTTCCCTCCAAGTCACATGGCGCAAGACTCGAGCGTACCTCCAGGTAGGCTTTCATGTTGTCGACATTCACACCTCCTCGGATGCAATCTGCGAAGCAAAGGACGGAGTTGCCCCCATGAGAGTAGCCCTCACCTGAACAGCCCGGCAAAGAGGAATGAAGCCGCCTCCAAGATTGAAGAGAGCTCAAGTAAGAAAAGGGAATAGCCACATGCCACTTTGAGAGCAAACGTGCAGCATGAAATGATCAGAATGCTTGCGCTGCGTGGGACAATCTAGCAGCATCAAAACGCTTGCGCCCTCAACAAAATGAACAGCTTTGCACGCTTGACACCAGGCTGAGAACAAAGGGCAGGTGTTCTGTGCAAAGAAATCCTCGTCCTTCCGGAATGTCGACCTAGTGACGTGGATACGGAGTTCCTTTATTGACACAAGCAACCTGAAACATCAAAGTTTTGGAGAGGCTTTGGTCCCGTGATGTTCCATCAAATATGCTGTTCCCAGCAGACATGCAGCCATCGAAGTGTCCCCTGGTTGCAGGATTTTTTGCGGGTGCTGAGGTCCATACCAAAGTGACCTGCGACGGGATACTGTGACACAGCCTCATACCGCCACAGGAAAAGCAATGGCTGAAAAGCCGCTCTTTAAACCCACCGCAAAAAGGACATTTAGCATATCCCGCACCCCCAGTGAACATCCCAATCCCCACTAAAATGGACTAAAATGGGTGGTGCACCTACCCCAACAATGGAATCCCATTGGTTTTGACCCACAGCCATTTGAGTGAACCTTCCATGACCGAATTCACCTTGCGCACAAAAGCAGCCTCCACTGCTGAAGCACGACGTTGCCGTCCCGGGCGCCCACTGCCAGGACGCAAGCGCTCTTCGGCAGCACCGCTCGCCAGGCTTTGATGATCTTCGGCGGCAGCATCTCCCCAGGGAAGGCCTCCGCTCTCAATACGGACGGAGGAGTAGAGCCGAGGGCCTAACATGACACCGCCGGCCATGCGTGGGGGGTAAAAAAAACATACGATGCCTTTTGCGGGCCCTGGGGATGCATAGCACCGCCTCTTGAGACTGAGAAGGAGGGTCGCAAAAGATATCCATCTGTTTGGAGGAAGAAACTTCGAAGCTTCCCAACCGAGCCTTCCGGCTTGAAAAGGGAAGTCAGGAAAAGGATGGATAGCAACGTTGATCTGGGAAGGCAAAAGCGGTTTCCAGAAATGAATCAAGAATATAGACAAGGCAATCATCAATGTCAATACAGGTATTCAATACAGGTATTCAAAACAGGCATGACGGACCGGAGCGAACACCGGGCGGAAGGAAATAGGAAGAAACCAGGCAAAACAGCTCACAGCGAGGCGGGAGTTCAACGCCCAGCGCAACCTTAAACGGCGAGGGCGTTGGGTACTTTTAGGGTTGGCTACAAAATCACTAAACTGAAGCTATGTTGTACTCGAAGACCATTCAAAAAGGCTTCTGTGAAGGATGGCTACCATTGTCAAGCGTGATTTGCTTGCTTTTGCACTGCCTCGGCTGGGTTTGTCTCTAGATTCCGAACATGTGCTTGTTTCCTGGCTTCCTTTGTACGTTCCCCAAAAAGGGTACCCTGCACCCTCAAAAACAGGCAAGCCCGAGTCTCAGCTTGCGAAGCGGGGGTTGTTTAAATCCCCAAACAGCCAACTAACTCAAACGGAAAACTCCCTTGTATTCAAGTGGAAACCAGAAGGACACAAATTCCTATTCTGGGAAACCAGTTTCATCGCCTTACCCCTATATGATTGGTTGCTCGGTTTCGCGGTTTGGGCGTCCCCATTTGGCTTAAAAAGAAGGGTTCAAAACCCAGATGTCTGCGTTCCCTTTGGTGTCCTTGAAATACCACCAAAGAAGAAAAAAAGAAGAAAAAAAACGCCGGAGCTGCCTTGAGGGCGTCCGCGCCACATTTCAAGGCGCTGAAGGCCTCTGTGGGCGTGCAAACCCCCGGCGCGCTCACCAGGCCCAGCTCCTGACCGATCGGCGCATCTGGAGGGGAAGAACAGCCGAAAAAAGTGGGGCCCGAAGGGAATTGGGATCAAAGAATGTGTGGATTCTTTGTTGGACCCCAAAAAGAAAGCTCCCTCGAAAACGCGTAAATGGGTGTCTTTTTGCGGGAGACCGGTCCCCGGTTTGAGGAAAAGGAAAACGATGTGCTTGTATTTGGGGAGCCATTTAAGACACACCCAAATGCGGGTTGTCTCTGAATGGGGTATGGAACCAACAAGTGGATGGATTCAATTTGGTTTCCCTTACCAACCCAATAACGCTATCCCAAAAAAAGGTGCACCCAATGGGTCCCCAAAACGAGGGCCAAATGAAGCCAGGAATGTGCATGCCAGCAAGAAAGCAACAGGGATATTTAATGGGTTTGCACATTTCAAGTACTGACTGGTTGTGGTTTCAGGGGTGAGAAGCAGTCTGTTGCGCCCAGGAAGCCCACCGAGCAATGCCGTCCTTGGTCTTCTTAATGACAGCCTCGTCCATATTGGGGCTAACTATGAGGATGCCACCAGCCGCCTTCACGTCTTCAACCTGGCAATGGAAAACAGCTGGTAGTTTGGTTTGGTGGTTTGGAGTATCACAAGAAACTGGGTTTCAATATCCAAACCACCTAAGGGCTGGCTGATTTTGTCTGAATGTCAAAACTGGGCGAATTTTCCTGGGTTCGCCTTTCGTAGGACCAAACGCAACAGTAGCAGCACCATCCATGCTCAAAGCATTCACCGCTTCAACTGATTGCCCCTTGTTCCCCTCTGAGGAGTTCGAGCAAGCGGGCGACCAACCCCTGTAGGAGAATAATCGCACAACGAACCCACTCTCACCGGTCCAACCGCCAAAGAAGCTGCCCCCTCCCGCTCCTCCCATCCCCCCGGGACCACAAATCAGCTCTGTGCACCTCTTTTGGGTGCAGGACGGTGCCTGCTCCCACCACCGTCGAAGCCGGCAGGTGCTGCACCAGGGAACGGATGCTCTTCAGGGCCTGCGACCAACCCGAATGCATGGTGTGGCTTGTCCTTTTCGGGTACACGTGTCTATGGGCAGGGGGGAAAAGGAGTTTCAGCCTGGCGTTGATGGCAAAAGACCCAGCCTTGGCCCAACGTATTCCAAACAAAGCCTCCGTTTGAGGGATGCCAAAGAGGCCCTCTGTTGGGTGAAGTGAGAGATCTGCAAGCCGCATGGAATTGAGACGGGGCTGTCCAAAAGATGCCTGCTCCGAACACGAACTCCAACATGTTGATCACCTCAAACAAAAATAACAAAACGCGCCCTTCCAAAGGCCGTGTCCCGCGCTCCCAAGCTTTTGAGCTCCCCTGCGGTCCCCTGCCTCTGGGGAGTTGAGCGGGACTTCAAGGATGGTCCTTGGAGGCAGACCGTGTTAGAGCCCTTTGTTGCGGGACCTAAACCCATCATTCGCTCAATGGCAGAACAAGCACTTGCCCGCGTTCTCTTCGAAGGGAACTCACTCAAAGACCGTAGTATTAGGGTGGATCGTCAGCCACATCCCCTCAATAGGGAGCTATTTGACAGCAGCTCGCAGATGCCGCCAAGACTATATAAATATGTATATCTGAGAGGACAGTTGCACTTGGAGTCTCATGAGATAACAACTGGTAGCAGCCAAAAGCACAGAAGCATGACAAACCCCGGGATACAGCTGAGCGTCACTCCAGCCTCCAGCAAAGCCCTGCCCACCGCCACTGCCTCCGCCGGCTCCACTCCCCGCAGGATGGCGACCAAGGGACAGGCGCCCAGCGCATCAGCCCAGCGCGTCTGGAGGCTAGGAGGATGGGAGGCTAGGCTGGGCCGCTCTCATGAGATGCCAACAGCGCCCTAGATTGACAACGATCGTTTCTGCCAGGGACTCAATTCAACGCTGCTTTCACCAGGCTCTTTAATTGCCCAAGGCCCAAGGTAGACTTAACCTGGGTTCCCCTTTTGAGGAAATCAACCCCTGAGTTTCAGCCTGCTTTGGGGAGAAGAATGGAACCCCAATCTTCCCCGCTCACTGGACACTGTTGCGGGGTGCCGCCTTGCACTGCCGGCTCTGGCCTGCACATCCGCTTCGGTCATGGCCGGTTTCCGGAACGCGCCCGGCCTTGAGCCCTCGAGCGCTTCTTGTGGAGTTCGAGGCAAAAACCACCAGCAGACTCGCCATGCGAACTGTTCGGAAGTTGACTGGGAATCAGGTTGTTTTCTACATCTACCATCAAAAACTTCAGATACAATTGCGCTAGCTGTGCAATCAGGATCAACTCGACGCATGCCTTGGAGTTGTAAGCAAAAGGGTTCCAGGTTGGCCTCGCCTCCACCAACGGCAGCCGCTCCGTGGATACGATGCTGGGGGTATCCCCGTTCCTGGCGAGCTCTCTCTCTCTCAAGCCCAAACCCAACTCAATGAGGGGCACGTCAACTTCTTTGCAAGTTTGCTTTGCGGGTCTGCGCTGCTAGGAAGCAAGACGCTTCAAAGAGCTTTGACCAAGTTACCCAGGGCCACAGCTCCTCCCTCCCAAACTCTCTGTCCCGATCCACGGCGCTCATGACTCCCTGGCTCGACACCCAGGTCCTATAGATCCACTCCGGCAAGTCCAGGGCGCACCCGCTCAGGCTGAAGCCGCTAGGCGCCTGATCAAGAGGCCGCGCCACGCCCCACTTCCGGCTTGCTTCACTTCTGAATTCCCTCACGAGCTGGGCAGATGCGCACAAAAGGATCTCACTTTGACACTCAGCCTTGCCTCAACTTCCACTGCCCCTTGAGCAGACACCGCACTGCCAGTCTTGAAGAACCTCTGCCGAGCCAAGGGACAAGAAAGGCAAGCGCAAAAGACTCTGGGCAGCTGCTGACAAACACCCCGTGCGAGAGTCTTTTATAGGTTGCTTCGAGACCAACCTTGCCAAGGCACACTTGCAGCGTGTGGGTTTCGCCAATGAGCACGCTTTGCGGCAAGACCTGCTCACCCGGGAAGTAAGATCCGGCCACACTCAACTAGATCAGCTTCGTGCAATTTCTCACAGAGCGGCTGACGCCGCACCACGACTCGCGCAAAAACACACACACACACACACACACACACACACACACACACACACACACACACACACACACACACACACACACACACACACACACACACACACACACACACACACACACACACACACACACACACACACACACACACACACACACACACACACACACACACACACACACACACACACACACACACACACACACACACACACACACACACACACACACACACACACACACACACACACACACACACACACACACACACGCACACACACACACACACACACACGCACACACACACGCACACACAGAACGGTGGACTGCCCCCGCCTGTGCGAAAGGCAGCGTCGCTGAGGCGCGAAGGACCTGGCTCAACGGCTCAACGCAGGCCCCGTTGAACTTTCGGAACGGCCAAAGCATTGGTAAGCATGCCATAAGCCAGATCAGCCTCTGGTCTGCCTTGCCTATTCCATCAACTTTGTTCAAAGGGGAGGGTGACTGCACACTTTGACCCGGGCGCATGCATTGCCGGCCAGTCAGGCAGTCAGGTCTCCCCGCCCCAGCAACCAAAGCAGCCAGCACAAGCATGGCTCGCCATGCAACCCGTGCAGCCAAATTGAGTGTGAGATGTGCCTCGCTCAACGCATGGAGCTGTGCGCTGTTTCTAATCAACAAAGAAAGAATGATCTGCATGTTTCCTGGACTTGCAAGGCTTCATGAATAAAGCACATGTTGCAGCCGTACTCTCAACTGCAAGCTCCCTACAAACAACAGGTGTGGAAGCCAGTGCAAGCGAGCGCACTGCCATGTCCTGTTGTTTGCGGGGCCTACTACCTGCGGCTCATGAATGGGCGATGCATTTTGTTGGGCGCCGAAGCATCTGTTGGCCCCATGGATTTGGCTACATCCCTCTGAAGGGCGGCGTGCGGCTGTGGGGCACCGGCGTTCTGAAGATCAAGCAGGCTAAGCGGGGAACTGTCATGTGCGACAAGTACTGGTGCCCAGTATGCAAATTGCAGCATGCGCAATGTAATCTTGTAAAGGAGGGTTGCTAAGATTGGGTGACAAAATGCCATCAAACCAGCAGATCTTCAGGGGTGCATTGAAGGACACCGCTTGGACATCCTAGTGTTGAGAAAGTTTCTGTAACGACACCTTTGTCTGCCCAACACAGGAGCCCTGAGTCGCACGCCTGCCAAGAGTCACCTTCGCACAGCAAGGCTACTGACCCAAGCATATGCGCTGACCGGTGAAGCGAGTTCAATTCGTCCCCGTGCAGTGCACGCGGCCATTTTGATGTCTTGCATGTTCTCTCCGGAGGCCTGTGCGGCATGTTCATCGTTCACCTACTCGGCAGTAAGGGAAAATGCGTTGGACACCCTTCAACAGGGGTACGCTCCAAAACATGGGTATGCGTTAGCCGGGGTTCCCTGTTAAGTTTCATACTCAAATTATACACCTTAAAGCCAAAATGAGGCCAGCAACAAAGCAGAACGTGGAAGCAAGCTTCACAACCAGAGTCTGATGTGCTCAGCAAGCGCGGAGGGCTGTTGCCGGTAGCCGTCACACCAAAGACGGAAACTCCAAGTGAAGCTTTGCAAGGTTCGTTTGTCTTGGCGGTTTGTGGCCAAGTCACCAAGGGTCCAACGGTAACAATGAACGATGCAGTGGGTGGTCTCCATGCAGGAGGACGTAGCCTTCGTGTCCCATGATTCTTGCGCAACGGTGAATTCTGTCACCTGGCCCTGTGACTTGGCAGAAACGGCCTGGCTGGGTTTGGAGCTTTCACGGCCAGTCTCCGCCTCAGGCCAAGGAGGCTCCATCTGAAGCATCCGGGTTCTTCACTTCGCCGTCTTCCGCCTGTCCAACGTTGCACCCTTTTCGATTCTGAACCCAACAAGGTGAACCACCTTCATCTGTGGTGTTACCGAATCCACCGGAACACTTCCGGAGCACCACCGGAACACCGCGAAAACGCAAAAGACCACCAGGACACCATCAAAACACCACCAGGAGACTGGAACGCTTTTGGGGAGCCCTGGCCCCGGAAAAATTGCCCACGCGGAGTGTCCAGGTAATAATGTTGAAGACCCCACAAATGGACAGCTATTGGTGAAAAATTAATGAATTGTCCAATTGGGTGGGGTGGTGAGTGGTGAATCAAGAGAAGTCTTGGGCAAACTAGTGATTTTGAGCCTCGCTGCAGGCTTTCCGTTCGTGTTTTTGCGGTTGTGCTTTGGTGGTGTCCCAGTGTCCCGGTGGTGTCCCGGTGGTGTCCCGGTGGTGTCCCGGTGGTGTCCCGGTGGTGTCCCGGTGGTGTCCCGGTGGTGTCCCGGTCGATGATGCTTTCGTGTTGGCCCGGTTGTGATTTGTTGTTGTCCCGATAGTCCCAGTGCCCCATCAAGTTTCCTATGGAGGTGTCCCGGTGGTGTTCCAGCTGATTCGGTGGTGGCCCGGTGTTCAGGTGTGCCCGTGGTGTCCGCAGTGGTGTCCCAGTTGTGTTTTTGGTTGCGTTTTCATGGTGTTGCGGTGGTGTCACGGTGGCGTTCCAGTTGTGTTTTTGATGGTGTCCCGGTGGTGTTTCCGGGTTTTCCCGGTTGTGTTTGGAGGTGCTTTCGTGGCGTCTCGGTGATGTCACATAGTGTCCCAGTGGATGTTTCGAGAGCGGCTGATTTTTTTTTGCAGGAAGAACGGATTGGTCCTGAGCCACAGTTCTGTTTCTGACAAGCTGAAAGGACCAGCATTGGACCAGCATGGCATGTCATTCGGGAGCTGGAAAATGAATGCATTGTTGAAGGTGCGTGGGCATGAGACCACACATGAGAAGTTTGAGAATATCATGCGTCAAGCTGACGTTTGCCATAAGTTGTGCCGAGGCCCGACGTGTGGTTTCCCTTTTACGCAACGCCATGGTAACTTTGCGCATTGGGCAACATTGCAAACTTGTGTAAAAGACGGGCGGTGCCTTGTGCTGTCGAGGGGTCTGTATGTGTCCATTTGTTAGGTGCTTAATCAACCCCGTATGCAGTTCCTGTCAAGGACATGGGAAAATGCGTGTGAGCCCCCTCGACTTTTTCCCCGGGAATTCAGTGAGTCCCTGTGTCCCCATCAGATCGACCATAGCCACGGAGTGGAATGCCTTGCTAAACTGCTCCAACGGATTTCTTTGCGTGGAAGGCACCCCAACCAAAGCCATCCTTCGGCTTAGATCCGCCTCTTGGTCTTGGCCTCTGCCTTCGCCGCCGGCCGCTTCAGGCTCTGCCTGGCACCAAGTGAGCCAGGCTCGAGGGATTGGCACTTCAGTCCTTCAGGGCATGCCAGATCTTCCCTCCTCTTGCGAGGGAAGGCAATACGTCCAAGCATGTTGCAAACTTGAAAGCCAGTGCGACGGGAAGGTCTCCGAACAGCAAGATTGGTCTTTGGGTGCGATCAGAGCCGCTTTGCCACAAGCAAAACTCTAGGAACGGCCGCTGGGCTTCTGCCGAGCAACGCATGCGGCGCATGCGGCGCATCCTCCACCAGCCACCACCCAAAGAGCGAGTACCGCGCATGGCCCTTGCGGACCGCGCTCACTTCGTGGAGACGAGGAACCTCAAAGGCCACCAGCCTGGGTACGGCGAAAAAACGACCCCAAGTGGCTTGGCCTCAATAGCCAGCAAAGCCTCCCGCCAAAAAAAAAGGTTTGATTTGGTTTGCCATTGAAACGGAAAAAGGGTTGCCTCAAAAACAACATACCCAAATATTGCAAGTAGAGGAAGGCGAGGAACCCTGTAATTTATCATAGCGGCCCACAAGAAACAAGCTCACTTGTTTTCCCTCCCGAAGGCTGCGGCAGATATGGGTGTCTTCCTTTGAGGGTACCTCAAAGGGTTGGGCTTCGACGGGGGGGGGGGGCGCCATTTGGAGACAAGCTCATATTGGCGTTCATAAAAGGAAAGCTGCAAAGGTCCGTATACTTACAAACCACTGCCTGTGGGGCCAGCCAAGACTTCGTTTGCTGTGCTGTCAACACTCCCAGAACTGCTCAAAGATACTCCAGCTCACTTGGCTGCAAAGGCAAGGACTGCCAACGAGTGCTCGAAGTAAGACATAAAAAGACGTTTCTTCAGAAGCTGGGGCTCGTATTGAAGTCCGGCGAGTGCTTTGCTGCGCCTGCAGATCTCACTCACAATGTCAAATGGGAGGGACTGGGATTGTGAGATACACAAAGCGCCCAAGCGACTGATTCCCAAGAACTTCCAAAATGGCTGCATGTTTGAGTAAGCAACACATGCCGTGCAAAATGATTCCAATCAATCACCGCATTTGCATCTCGGGCCTTCCTCGCTCTCCAAATCCACAAACTGGCCCCCGAAGGATGGCTTCCAGTCCTGGAGGGAGCTTTCCCGATCAAGAACTATGTGAGAATGCTGATCGGCTTGCGCATTGGACCGTACACGTTGCTTCTCTGGGATTGGAGTTGATCAAGTTTGGAACCAGTCACTCCAAGGGAAATCGTCTACATAGAGAGTGCCAAAAATATGGTTGTTTGTTGTGTTTCCTTCCGGAGAGCACTTGGTTGATAAGGTCCTGGCTGTGTTTTGCTCGTCTTGTTTCCAGCATGCAGTGTTCCAGCAAAGGCGAGGTGAAGAAAGCCCCAGGCAGAAGCCGCGACCGATCCTTGTTGAGGTAGTAGGCGGCAGCCACCCACCGCCGAAATGGCACGCTCGGAGCACGGGCGCCCTGCTCCACAGCGCGGCGAACTGCCGCAAGATCATCGGACTGCAGGGCATCCTGCGCAAAGACGACATCAAAGCGGACCTTGAACCTGCTGTAGACGCTGGGAGTTGTTGATTCTGCGTCAGCCCATATCATGACACTTGAGATGCCTTGATTTCTACCGCATTGGCTAGGTATTTGACCGAGCTGGCCCATGACACTGGCGTCTCGACGCCTTGATTTCTACCGCAAGAGCTGGATGTTTGACCGAGTTGCAGTACGGACCGGGATCCTGACGGATGAAGATCTACGGATGTCAGTCGGCTACCTAGCCAACTGCCCACATCACGTACTTGCGGGACTTTTGGCACCCGAGCAATCCATTTTGGGCGCATCCCATGAAACTCATGGCATCTCGTGGCCTCTGTCGGCCTCTCCTGGAGATTCTCGGTCTCGGCCCGGGACTCCCGCCAGCGTCTCCAGCCTTGAGCTGCCGACGCCAGGTCCCCGCGGCCGTATGCTCGACGCAGCTGGCAGGAGAGTTGGCAAACACACGAATGTAGCTGTGGCTCGTTCCCAGGCCACTCCTTTCTGCGTTTAGCGCAAAGAGGGGAAACAAAAAAATAACCAAAAAACCACCGATTCATGTGTCACCCTATCTGGAGGCAAGCCAGTATCAAAGATGGTGCCAGAATAGGATACCCAGCAAAACACGCCCTCAAGGCCGATTATGACTGCAAGCCAAACATGACCGTGTTGATAGCTGACTTCTTAGGTGAATGTGCTTTCTTCGCTTGGGACTTATTATCCGAAGCCCGAGCACATTCCCGCCTGCTTCACTTCTTCCATGGAGTAGGTCTCTGGCACCAAATCTGTATGGGGGGCTATATGGTCGCGGCCACGGTAGCAGGCGGCTGAGAAGTTGGGCAGAGTGCCAGGAAGCAACCTGCAAGGAGGTCGAGCTGTCGTTTTTGGTTCAAGGCCAACCAGACCCCGCTGCAAGTTGTCTAGAATCACACGAACCACATGCAGAAAATGGCGGCCTGGCAAGGAAGCGAGCCGCCCCGAGGAGCACCACATCGCCCTCCACATCTGCTATGGAAAAATGATGTTGCACTTGATCCTCGTAGCCCTTGGCTGCATCAGGCAGGACCTTTGGCCGCCCTGCACCCTGCTTGCCACAAACCAAACGCTCACTTAAAGGTGCTTCTACCACAAAAAAGGACGCAGTATAGGTAAGCAGCCAAACCTCTGCGTCGTCACGGGCGCCTTCTCCCGCTTGCTCCCAATCCAAAACTTTCAGCGCCTGGCGCACGGCCTCTGCCACGTGCTCCGGCAGCAGCTCCGGAAGTTTGGCCTGAGCGCCAAACTTGCCCACGCCCCACGCACCCTCGGGCTCACTAACCCTTTGCTTCGCCCAGGAGGAAAACAAAATACGCGTGAAAAGGCCGAAAGGAAGCCGTTTGTGAAACTTGATATCCTGCCATGTTTCAGGATGACCCTAGACCCAGCTTGCAATATGATCTGTTGATTCCTGTTTCATACTGATCGCTTTTGCAATTTGCCCATGTCATGGTTGGAGTGTGCTGGGCCGGTTCCTTGGGTTTTGGATTTGTCGAAACCCTCATGAGCAGATTGGATAAAACAAATACCTACACGACAAATACAGCAACTAAAACCATCTTGGCACGCGAGGTGAGATGCGTTTACCAAAGGAGCAGGCCAAGCAAAACTACTCCAAAGCACAAACTAGGTGGTGAATGCTTTGGGGATTTTTTTGCCGAGCCCCCCCCCCCTCCCACCCAAACCATTCGGCCCAAGATCTCCGGCAGGTCTGGATTTGCTCTTGCCTCCACCCCAATCCATTCCCGAAACTTCAAGCCCATCGACCCCTCAATTGCATGCATCCAACAACTGTTTAACCCTCCTAGCATCTTATCTACCACAATCTAAGAATGGGGCAAGGATGCAAAGCCAAATGTTGCCCGAGTAATGGGAACTATACTCTTGACGGCATCGGACAACAAATCCAGAACTTCAGGCAATAATCATTGATAGTATCCATCCATGGCTGTCGGTTAGTCTCACAATTGGATTGTGCCATGAGGGACCCAAAACAGGTAACCCTGCCCCCACCCAAAAATACAGGGAGGGGTAAATGACACATCGACACGCCCGAATCCTCGGACCCAGCGGCGAAGCCTTTGGCCGCCAGCTGCCGCCGCAGCTCTCGCCGCAAAGTTCGCAGCCGCGCGCCGCTGGCCACGCTGTCCAGCCAGCGGACAGCGGCGCTCTGGCCTTCGGAGGTGAAGAAGGTCGGGTCACATCACTCAGTCCACAAAGGGGTATGAGCATAGATGTTGACAATCTGGTGGACATTACAGGGAGGCTCATGCTGCCATCCCGGCCAAACACTGCAACCAAAATGACGAATTTGGGTTAGACTACAATTAGGGAACTGCAAATAGGGGAAGCCCGAAAATTGATGGTCTGCCTGGACGCCTCAACAAGACACACCCATTTACCGGATGATGAAACACACACACACGAGAAAATGAAAAATGGAAATGGCCAAAATAGAGGCCAACATCCAAAGCGTGTTGACATTGCAGAGAAATGATTGGCACGTCATGCAAACCCCAAGACCATGCTGAACAAACGTCTTTTGCCCCAAGAACTGTGAATATTGAGCCTGCGTTCTCTGTTTTAGCAATGGGGATCCTATAAGGCATACAGCTGCTCACAGGATGATGCACACGTTTCAACTGGCAAGGTTGAAGGACTCATGAATGTGGTAGCTCACATCCCCATCTTGTCATAGGGTGGACTTTGCTGCGGGGGTGGGCAACTCCGCGCTCACTGAGAACCCTCTGCGCCTTTTGCTGACATGGCACGTCAAAGGGACTCACATTGGAGTCATGCCACGCACTGGAGTGTTGCTATTCCTAATGCCTGCTGCTGCACCAGCTTGAGATGTCAATGTGCGAATTCTATCCTCATGTTCATCTCTTTGAGCCAGCTTGCATAGTCAAATTTGGTTCAGAGTCATGGGTGAGGTCACAAGCCATGGCATCATGCCCGGCATTAAACAGACCCACGGTTGATAAATAAGGAATGTCATGTTGGGAACAATTGCAACCCCCATGAATCCGCAAAGTGCCACTAAGACCTGAGAATATCTTGAATAGATTACTGCCTGGATACAACATTGTCTGTGCTGCGCTCAGCTTTGTTTTGCGTATCGCCAACATAGAGCTTTGCTATGCTCCGCTCCTTGCAAGCATGCAGAGCACATGTTCTGCACTCCGACTTCTGGCGCAGTCAGAGTTTCCAAGTGCAACTAAGGCTGTGGCTCATCGGCTGTGCCTCAGGTGAAAAACTGATGGGCTTGGCTCGGCAACCCAGGACAAGTGCTCCCCTGATCTTCCTCTAAAAATGTTGCCGGGAGTTCATAGAAATACATACAAATGGTAGCCCTGCCCCTGGAATACTCAGGTTGTTGGCCAGAAATTGACATGTTGGCTGTAAAAATGCATGCAAAACACACGTTCCAGCTTCTAAAATGAGGCTCTAAAAATGCACTCCTTTTTAGACTTGAATTCTAGCATCGGTACTTAGTGCAATCCAGGATGTGCTAGCATCTGGCGCCAAAAAACCTGAGTATTTCAAGGGCGGGGTAGCATATGTATTGATGCTCAATGCTCTCAGGTTGAAGTAGTCTGCTGCCCAAGAGCTGTCATCCATGAGATCGACCAAGTCCTCATCCTGTGGCTGGAAGCTACGTGACATGGTCACGTCCGAATGGCAAAACACAACCAGCAATGCACATCAAGGCCATGGATTGTACCGTGTTCCGCCTCTTTGCTTCTGCGGTTCTTGTGTATCTGCGTTTGTGCTGCCAAAACACCACTGCACTTGCCTTTCTATACTGGCGGGGTTTCTTTTGCGGTTCAGAAACGAGTACCATGGTTCGTGCAAAGACGCCCAAAAGAATTCCATTCGGAGAGCCGGCCTGCGCCTTGGAAGCCATCGCCGCGCCCGGGCTCGTCGGACTCGGACTGGGCTTCGCCTTGGACCTGGGCCCGAGTCCCGAGTCCCGTGCCCATCGCTGAGAAGCCAGGGCCCGCGCTGCACCAAGGATGCTTCGAGGCCTTAGGCTTCAACGGCTTGACCCCTCGCAGGCTGAAAACGTATCGGTTGATACACCCCACACTGGGATGCGGACTCAGCTCACGTTCGACCTGATCTGCTGCCTCGGTCGAAAACTGACGGAGCGGCTCGGTAAATGTGATCCACGAGCCGGCACGTATCTAAGCCCATGCAAGGCTGATCGATTTCGTTCATCTGCATATGATCCCGCCCAAAACTTGGGTTTCAAAGGCACAACAAGCATAAGTCAAAAGGTTTGCTTGGGATGCATCATACTCGTTTTGGGGTGTACTGTCGCACTTCTCAACACACACACA